ATTAGGAGACTAATAAAAACTTAAAAAAGGGATTCATCTCGATAGATCATCTCCATTCTCGATTTATCAACTCAGTTCAAAAGTACTTTTTTAATGGTGTAATCCAAATTCTTTTTTCTATTAAGCTTTGCCTTTAAGTAATAAATACATCTTTCAAAGATTTAAAAATTGTAGTCTGTAAAAAGGTTTTTTGAATATCTTTTCTTCATTCAGAAAACAGAAGGGAATAGAAATCGATTGAAATAGATAATATCTTTTTGGCTTTGCATGGCCTATCACAAAACCTCTTTTTTTTCTACTATTCTATTCCTTTGAAACAGTTCAATCTTTTTGAGTTCCATAATTTTGTAGTATTACTATAACTTCCACGATAATAGGCTGTTTTGACAATAGAAAGATGACAATAGCATGTACTTCTGATTCTAAAACTCAAATCAAAAACATTGACTGAGATTTTTTTATCTTTCATTCTCACTTGAATCGTACTCGATAAGTTTTACGAGTAATGAAAGACAAAAACAAACTTTAACTTTCTCAAGAATAAATACGAGATAAAGTGATTAAAGTTTTCCTTGATCCCACTGAAGAAACAGATAAGCTGTTTTCTTCTAAATAATTTAAAATGTAATTTACAGAAAGAAGTCACACCCACAAAGTGAATTTGCATGACAGTAAGACGTTTAAATATGTTTTACAACATTAAAAAAGATGTCATAATCGAGAGAGAGACAATGAGTTTCAGTAGAACATGGAAATCTACTTAGAATTTCATGTTCATCAGTTTTCTCTTTGAAAGCTTAAGATTTCAGACATTAGAAATAATTGTCGACACAAAAGAATTCTTACACAGTCCTTTTCTTAAAGACTAAGTTACGAAAAGTACTTTGTTCATTGTAATTATTTTCAATATTTCAATCGTTGCCTCATGGGTATTGACATCAGAAGTATAGCACGATCTCGATAGAGTAATCTCACAAAGCTGATCAATGCATCTATCGAAGTGATATTTTGCCGATCAGTAGGATCAATTGAGATTTCAAACAGGTTCAAAATGATCACTCACGATAGGTGATCTCCATTCTGGATTTATGATTATTTTGTGGGGTGTTCAGTTAATGAGAAGACATTTCTAGAAGAATCAATACTCAGAAATGTTCACTGAGATTTAGTCATAGAATGAGTCATATCATATTTATAAAACCCTTAAAGTTTCTCTTGATTTTTCGTCTAGTTTTTTTTATCAAGCCTTGCCTTTGAGTGACAAGCACATCTCTGAATGACATTAAAATGTAGTCTGTAAAAACGAGATGAGAAGTATGTTCCTAAACATATCTCTCTGCGCTTTTCTTGAGTTATCAATAATCTATGTTTGAAGAGCTTTCTTACTAAGCAGTCAGTCATTAGAAATGACCGGTATTTGATTGCTCAGTAAAAAGTTGTGTTCAACATAGTCTATAATTGAAAAAGTTTATTAATTGTTTTCTAAGAACTCTCTTATTTAAAAAATTCAAACTACTTATACAGGGTGTTCCAAAAGTCCACTCGAAAGAGAAACGTGATTATCTCTGTAACTGTTCAAGCGATTTACGTGATGTTTTTATAGTTTCATTTCATATTCATTAAAGTTTTATATCATATATATTTGTCTATAACAAATATACAAAATGATTACTTACAAATGCAATACTCAAACATCCCCTTTGCAACAAAGCTGTAAGAACATTACATAAATTATTATTTTATAAAAATTTCTATAACAATCGTTAAGAGCATGTTAAAATATAGCGACATAGTAGAGTGAAAAGAATTCACATAGAACTATTGATATTGTTATGCAGTCTTTGAAAGACAACATTTACATTGCAATGTTAGGAAACCAACTGTTGGAACAATTTTTTTGAGGGTAATATTTTCAACGAAAACAAAAATTTTATTATACAATTAGACTTTCTTGTATTCTAGAATTACAAACATTATGCTAGATGAACCCTATAGTATTTTATCAAGATGAAACTCTTCCACATTTTAGCCATGAAGTCTGTAATTTTTAAAGAACATCTCTTCAAACAAGTGCAATAGGTCAGTTGATCTGATGTGACTCGATGATTGTTCTTAGAAACATTTTTGCAAGGCAATGGTTAAAGATCTCATTAAGTTGGATATGAAAATCCATAATAAGGTCAAAAAAATTTCAAAATAAAAATTTGCGTAATGTTTTTTACACATATGTTGCAAATGGGAAGTTCTTGAAATGAAACTAGAAAAACCTCAAGTAAATCGCTTGAAGAGTTAAAGAAAGAATCACGTTTCTTTTTCGAGCGAACTTTTGGAAACATCCTGTATAAGGATAAGCAAATCGGCAAAGAAATGAACAAAGTTCATAATACTTTTCTCATTTGTTAAACAGAAAAAAAAACAAGTAGATGCACATATATACGAGTGAATTGCAACTTTTATAGTACACGGTAATAGGTTTTCAACACTTTATTCTTTTTTTTCATGGAGATATAAGATACTTCACCAGAAATATACTATTGACAATACAAAGATCAGTATTGATTCACTGAAACTCAACGTAATAAACCTACTTTATATTTGTTTCAAAGAAGAAGTTCCTTCTATCAACTTGTTTTCCGCCAAACAGTTCAAGAATTTTTTATTTCTATATAATTTGATAGAGCATTAATTAGTCTATCTAACGGTATAGTTTTCTTTTGATTTATTTCATATCTTGACGAGAAAAATAATGTTACATAAAATATAGTATGAAACTATTTCGAATAGTGGGAGAAACATAGATTTTACTACTGGAATTTTAAACATCTTATTTATCAATAAAATCAAAAACTGTTGCTCTATTCAGTCATATATTAATGGGCAAAGATTATGATAATTGCATGACTAAAAGCTACTCAATCAGAATAAATACTTCAATTTTTTATATCCATTGTTTGAGGAGAAAACCAAGACAGTATACACAGAAGAAAAAGATTTTTTCCTTCATTTCTCAAAATTCATCTAGTTTCTTATCAAGATATGAAAAAAAAAGCAGTCGCCGGCAGGACTGACTTAACCTTCGACTGAATTCAATCTTGTTGTCATTTTCTCTGTTCTACTTTAACAATTACTGTGCAATACATCCACAGACGAAAATCTATCTATAGTATTTTCAGTGACGACTATTTTGTAAAAGAGCTTTACTTAATCAAACATCTCGCAGTGCATTGTCATAATTGAATTAAATCCATGCACTAATTCTCTTACAACGTAGTCCGAGCATATATGTTCTTCCTCGCAAATTGACCATAAATCTTTTGGTGAATGTTTTCTGGACTCCGGCGTTCTTTTGACCCCAACACATAGAAACTTATTTTATTTCATATGATCCCCTTAAGTCGCAAAAATATCGTTATTTTCTCAAAAACCCTTTCGTGAACCCCAAAAATTCAACTCAAAATTTTGAGAAACTGACTTTCATCAACCGTTATGAAAAGAAATTCACCTTTTTTTTGGTTTTTTTACCCTACCACAAACAGACAAACTTTTTTCAATTCTTTTCACATCAGCCTCCCTTCAATCGAGGGAACAAAGAAATATACCTTTACACGGCATAGCTGTTTAATTCATATAACTCATCATCGTGTTGGTCTTCTCGATTATCTCAAACAAACACCATGAAAAAACAACGATTTGAAACCTGAATGACGTTGAAAAATGCTTGACAGAAAATAAGGCAGCCATTCTCCGAACCATAATCAGCTCTATTCTGAAGTAAGAAGGATTATTTGGTGCACTCTGTGATACTTTATTGACTGAATTGATATCCCACATTGTGATCCTCGAATTCACTAATCTTGAGGAATTATTGATGGACCCGAGTTCTCCACTCTCAACAACATTAAGTCAACCTTTATGAAAAATCATAATTTTCTTAAAGAATCATTTCTTCAGTGAAAAAAATCCTTTCGAAAATTTTCCAAAAACCAATGCCACCAATCGATTCCTGGACGCCGAAAACCTTTAGTCAAAGTTGACAAGACATCATTGTTTTCCTCGAAAACGAGTTCAAAAAAGTGAGCTCCGCATGTAAACTCCAAACATGGAGCTCACTTACCCATCCACCCTTTCCCAATAAAATTCAATCCATGTTTTGTGGTTTATCGCAGTAAGATCGCATTTCACTGAGATACTAGCTCGGGAGTTATAACTAATGTTCACTAGATATGTAACCTGGGATCTCAGAGCTTCTACTGGGATTCTAGTAGCATCACCTAAGATGCTATCAACATCCCAGTTGATGCTCCTAGCATACCAATTGATGCTAGCACCATCCCAGGTGATACTACTGCCATCCGAGGTGATTCCTAAAATGAGCTCCTAATTTTTAGTTTACGTAGTTTGAAGCACAGTTTTTCTTTGAGCTAAAACAAGCCTTTTTTTCATTAAAACATCTATCTGAAAGTTTTCAAAAACCTATGATACCAATCGATTCCTCAACCCCATAAAACTTTTTGTCGAGCTCTGCCGGAGTAGATGTAGAACAGAACTGAGCATTATTGTTTCAGACAATGTTTTTTTTCACTGTGACACATACACACATACTGGAAGATTTTATTTGAGATGACCCTCCTTACAGTCTAGAGAATAAGTCAAAAGGAAACTATACCGTTGGCTAGAGCAATCAATGCCCTTGAAAATAATATAGAAAGAAAAAATTGCCGAATTTTTCAAGGAACACAGAAAATTGATGAGCATTAGAAGAGAAAGAGAGAAACAAGAAAGACTTCAAACTCTACAAAAAGAACTATTCATTGTCTTTCTTTCTTTCGTTTCATGCTTGCAAAATTTTGTGTTCTTTACACTTATGAACTCGTACATGGAAATCTCCTTAGAATTTTGAAAGCTTAACATTTCAGATATTAGAAATAATTATTGACACAACAGAATTCGTACAAAGTCCTTTTCTTAAAGAATAAGTTACGAAAAGTACTTCCTTGTGTATGAGAGACAAAGATCTCTTCGATAATGATGATTCATTTTCTTTGTTCATTGTAGTTATTCCCAATATTCCAATTGATGCTCAATGGTCACTAAACGGAAAGACCGTTGCTGGAGGTAATGGAGAAGGCGATGCCACAAATCAACTCGCGAGGCCTTACGGTCTCTTCGTTGATGATGATCAAACGATGATCACTGCTGACTGCTCCAATCATCGTATCGTCCAATGGAAGATGGGTGATACGAATGGACAAGTTATAGCTGGTGGCAAGGGCCAAGGAAATCGCTTAGATCAATTGGATCGTCCAACCGATCTGCTAATCGACAAAGACACTGATAGTCTCATTATCTGCGATTGGGGAAATCGACGAGTTGTACGATGGTCTCGTCGTAGTGGCACAACTCAAGAAGAAATCTTCATCAACGACATCGATTGTTATGGATTGTTCATGGATGATCAGAAATATCTCTACGTCTCTGACTACAAAAAACACGAAGTCAGACGATATCAAATAGGAGACAAGAATGGAATTATTGTGGCTGGTGGAAATGGCAAAGGTGCTGATCTCAATCAACTCAACGATCCGCATTACATCTTTGTCGGTCAACAACAGACTGTATACGTGTCAGACAACCACAATCATCGTGTAATGAAATGGAATAAGGGTGCAAAAGAAGGCATTGTCGTCGCTGGAGGTCAAGGTAAAGGGGAAGCTCTGACACAATTGTATCATCCTAACGGATTCTTCGTCGATATGTTGGATACCATCTATGTGGCAGATTCGGCGAATCATCGAGTAATGCGTTGGCCTAAAGGAGCAAAACAGGGTACTGTCATTGTGGGTGGAAATCGTAAAGGAGCAGGAGCAAATCAGTTCAATTATCCCGATGGTTTGTCGTTCGATCGACAAGGCAATCTCTATGTCGTCGATAATGAAAATAATCGTGTTCAGTTTTTTTCAATTTAATAAATTGCATTTGAATCGAAAAAAAAAATTTTTTTCATTTCTATTCACGCGCGCGCGACCAGGAACCATCCTGGTGGCGCTGTGGCGAGCGTAACACTCGCACACGCGCGGGAAAACTCACATCATCCACATGCACCCATCCGGTGACATATGTCAGTGAGTCTGAGACCCGATCGTGTTGCCACAGACACCAAGACAGTTCCTGGCCGGTGTTTAGGGTCTATCCGGAAAACCTGATATAGTACGAGAGACCTCAACCTAACTTATTCTCCTCTCAACTCAAACTCAATAAGAAGAAAAAAATAAATAAATAATTATTCACCCTTCCTTGACGAAGTTGATGGTTGAAACGAAAAAAAAAAGAAAATTAATACATATAGAAAGAGAAATAGTGAAAAAGGATACATACATTTTATTTTATTGTTTTTCAGATTGACTTGATATAATTGTGAGTTGTTGAGATCAATTCCTAAGATATAAAAAGAAAACAACTATATAGAAAAAGATCAATCGAAGTCTTACTACCTTCGGAAAGATCTTTAAGAAAAAAAAACAAAGAAAAATTGAAAACTAATACCTACATTTTTAGTTTTGTTTGTATTATATTGTATTGATATTGAATTGATTAATTTTGAATCTTGGAGAAGTAACCTAAAATATAAAAGAAAAAAGGTTAGAATATGATTCAAATAATTGAATGATTTTTTAGTTGAAAATCATTCATTTTAATATACATTTCAATACATTTTTTCTCTCGTTCAATAATAATTAGATCAT